TTTGAACACGCAGCCACCTTGTAACTGTGAGCACACTACAGGCATTCATGGTGTTCTTAGAATACTCTTCTGATTATTGTTTTGACTGGCTGTGCTGCCATGAAGACAATTTTTTCTAACTATTTGAAAATCTTAAACTAAATTTAATTGAGATTTGGTAGTTTTTTCAAAGTTTGAAAAAAACCCCAAAAAACAAGAACATGCCACTAGATGGAATTGCAGATGACACCCATGAACTTTTCTGTGTGGAATGAGACCTAAAACTTCATCTTTTCTGGTTTCTATAGCTAGTGTATATTCTCTGTAAATATAGGCTTATAAAGAAATGTCCTGAATTTGAAGCACTTGACATTTTTTATTATTCCTAAATTCAATTACATAATTGCATGTTTTCCAGCATCATGAATTGCTGTTCACATCCCTTTGAATGTAGTATAAAGTAGCCAGGCATAACCTGTCTATCTTAAAAGATTTTTAAACTGGAAAATTCTGCTGAATACCTAGAGTCACCAGAACAGCAGTACTTTCACAGAAATTTAAGGGAGAGCACTGGAGGCCTGGAGTATCAAGATAGGACTCTGTAGGACTGCTGTGAAAACTCAGCCATGAGCCTTGACCCACATAATAAAAAGTTATTTACTGCTTGTGATGAATAAAGGACCGCATGCGCTGTCTCAGTTCCAGCTTGTGCTGGTTAGACATAGGGAAATATCTTCCTGTGCTGAAAGACAGGTACCACAGTGGTTATGCATCAAATCACAGTAGCAATGTTGGCTTTCTCTGGGGGCAGGAGAATGGTCAGTTGCATGAGAGAAGAGTCACGCACTGGAAAATTAAGAGAAAACCTTCAAAGTACAGGATATACAAGGAGGCTGTGCATTACTGGTAATGAGAAAAGCTGTGGTAACTTGGCTGGTCCTCAAAAATTCTGATGGAATGTGAAAGGTCCAAGTGGCCCCATCCCACATGAGAAGAATGTAATCTCTCAAAAAAGGAATTATAAACAGCAGATAGGGGCTAGAAGGTAAAAAGGGGTGTGGGGAGCAGGAGGCACTCGCTGGGAGAGCTTTTCTTGGAGAGCCATGTCTGTCCGAGTTGCTTTGTGGAAGCATTTAAGTGAGTTAGTAGAGAAATAACATTTGTGTTCTGCAATATCTCTGCAAAAAACCACCCTTATAAATTGTATTTGATGCTCAGAACCTAGAGTTTGACTGCTTGGGTAAATTCAGATTTGAAACCTCATTTCTTGTAAGGATTCATGGGCAATCCCATAGGGCAGAAAACAAGTCCAGTTTGTATTTTTTCTTGTAGAAAGCTTTTAGCTTGTTCAGAAGCCCTCCAAGGAAGTGCTTTCTGTATCAGCGTAGATCCCTGTTGGAGTTTGCTGAAGAGGCAAACTGGAGCTGAGTCCCCGGTCTTACTCTGAAAACCTAACCATCTTGCCATCCTTTATATTTAGGTGGATTTGATCTGTATAACAACTCATTTTTGTGTCTGGACTTGCTGTATTCCTTTAATTTGCATGGTCTATTTTGTTGCAGCTCTGGTTTCCAAGGACATTTGTGTAAAAGTTGTTGCCCAAGCACAGCAGCTGCTCATGCAGATAAATAAAAGTTTAATGAAGTGATGTGTTTCAGATTAATGCAACGTGCAAAGTGGGTGAAGAATTGTCCTTTTATTTTTTATTGGCTTGTTTCATGTTTAATATGAAAGCATTTGGTATATGCTTAACAGATAGCTACTGTAGTGATTAAGAATCTATGAGCAAATTTATAGGTGAAAGTTTAATTTCAATAGTTTACAAAGAGCTTTTTCACATTAAAAAATGTACTCATCGCTTTTTAGATTATTGTCTAAAATGGATCATTTGGACAAAAATAAGTAATTTGTACACAGATATTTAAAGCGGAATATAAACTGTTGGTAACGTATAAAAGCTGCTGTGCCATGAACATCTGTCATCTGCCATCCTGAACCTCCACTCATAACAGTATTAACTTTTCATTGGATCACTGATTGACTGACGGCAGGGAATTGGCATTTAATTATGTTTAAGCTTATCCTACTGAGTACTGAGAAACAACTATAAGTACTTCATTTGAAGCTGGAATGCAGCATGTTTAGGCAAATATTGTGATCATTCTTGCTTTTATTTTCTGAGGATAAGAGCTTAGATGTGTATACCTTGTTGACAGTTCAGTGTGCACAACCCTCTAACATCGTGTAAATCACTTTGAATTTTTCCAGCCATTATCTATTTGGCATGTTATGTGAATCCTTTTCCAAAACAATTTTGTAATTTTTCCATTGTGCGATGTTTCATATTATGTGCTGATGACATTCCAGACTGAAGCATATTGATAGTATTACGTAAAATTACCGAGTTTGTGTTCAGTCTAGTAATCTCTACAAAATTGGTGCCATATGATATACCCAGTATTACCTATGTTACACTTTTTTCCTTTAGAGAAATTAAAAAATACTCTTAGATATAGTCTGCTACAAAATAAACCCTTTAATAATGAACTCTGTAATTCATACCAGATAGAACTTGTTTCCTGTTGTAGTCAAAACAATCCTTGCAAACTGTTAGGTTTCTTGGCTTTTATTAAATGCAAATTCATTTAAAAAACACACCTTCCAAATTCACTATGTAGAATGTAAAATCTCTGAATTATGTTTTTGTTTATATGTGTCAAGAATAATGTCAAAGAAATAGTAAACATTTTTCAAGAACTGGTAAGCTTTTTTGAAGCCTGCTGAAATGAAGTGCTTTATTTACTACTAAAAATTTACTAAGTGAAACGAGACACAGAGCTTGCAAAATTGCCTACTAACCGCCTTCCTGCCTTGCAGGAAACTTCAAGCACTTCCATTCCTGTTTTACAATTACACAGGACACTCCATCACTACCAAATGTGACAAACTGGTATAGTAGTTTGTGTTTGATAGCTGAGAGCAGGAAGAAAATTACTTTGTGGTTTTCTTCTGATTTTCAAGGCAGAAAAAGAAAAATGCAGAGTGCTGTTGCATTTCCAAAAGAGCATTTTAATGCTAGTTACTGAAGTTACTTGCGGCACACTTTGCTGCATTAACCTCCCTGTCAGAGCTTGCCAAAGTGCTTGAGTAACTCTGAATTTTCATAGCCCTAATGACTTTCCTTTTGTCATAAATTAGAACAGGAAAGACTAAACAGCTCATTGCAGTCCTGGAGATGTGTAGCTTTTTGCGGAGGCGTTGGGAGAGCCGCCTGCTTTGCCCAGCGCAGGGCAGGGTCGTGCCTGTCGGGGCGGTGAGAGTTGGAGGAAAGCTGGAGAGATGGGGTGAGCTTGTCGCACACATCCCTTAGGTGTGATCAAGTGATAAAGGAAATGTGGTGCCCTTTGGGAGGGTGTGTACCTATGAGAAACAGGAAGCAGCTCGGCGGGTGCCTGCCCTGCCTGCCTGCAGAGGTTGGTGGCTCCGGCGGTGCAGGTGTGCCGACACACCGCCCAGCCGCTGCTCTCCAGGCATCTTGGCAGGCGCGCTCCTCGGCACCCACAGCTGGGAGAGGCGGGGGAAAGAAACCCAGCCCAAAGCCAAAACACCCCCCTCACCTTTTAAAAAAAACCAACCCTCCTCCAGGTAGGGGAATATGACGGCCTTGCAGCTGAAAGAGTTGTCACATTCAGGTCTGTACAGGAGGAGACGGGATCGTCCTGACAGTGTCCTGCCCGGGTCACAGGAAGAGAACCTGAGGTGAGTGCAAATGGATGGTACTGCCAGGGCACCGAGCCCTTCTCTGCTGCCCGCTTGCTTCGGTGGTTGTAACAAACAAAATGCAACCACAGCTCTGGAAAGTCGCTGCAAAACACATGCATTGAGAAGCAGCCCCGAGGCACGACAGAAAAACCCCTGAAAGAGAGCTAACAGGAGCCATACGGTGACCTTGCAGGTTCTGGCGATGGTGTGACAGCCTTCCCTGGCCCTGGGAAGGGCAAATGTTAGCCGGTGTTTACTTTGGGATCCCTTCTGACGGCCAGCACTCGCAAGTAAATAAACATTTTGGAGCCCGACAACTTTGCTCCGTCTGCTTTGAAGCTGGTTCTGGGTCACCCAGGTTCTGTGGGCTGCGTCTTGGGTCTTGGCACAGTCCCTGTGCCAGGCTGGTGGTGTGGAGCTGGGGTGGCTGCTGGGCTCCGGGGTTCTTCATGGGGCGTTCTTTGTTGGAAAGGGCTTTAGACAAAAGAATGCAGCAGGGCCACTTAGCCTGACCTTACTCAGCAAGGGTGGCCAAATGTTAGAAAGCCATTTAATGTCTGGGGTTATCTTCCTGCTGCTGTGAACCTTTTGAAAAAAATGAACAATGAATTTGCAAAAAGCCTCTGTTTGGAGCAGAAAGATTAAAGATCTGTTTGTAACTTGAGTAAGTGCAGACACCCCTCCCCAAGAAAAGTAAAAATGCTAGGATGTTTTTCTAAGTGTGCTCAGCATGAAAGCAATCCATTCCCACTTCAAGCTCCTTCGCTAAGGAACCTTGTGTATCTGCTAACAAAAGCCTCAGTGGAGAGGAAGTACTTCCTATCTCCGAAGGCCTGTCTCATTGTATTTTTAGATTATTTTTCCTTGGTAATGGTTGTGCATCAGGTTGGAGTGCTGTATAATTTGAAAGGTTGTTACTGTGTTTTTTTCAACTGAATTAGTGATTTCAGAAGAATGGTTATTCACATCTGGGGGATTTACTCTTTTGTTACAACTAAGAACCATAATTGTGGCAAAATGTATGATTGTAATTTACAGAGATTATTTACAATGAGATGTCAGAAATATATCATTTCTAGGAATGTGTTAACTTGCAGGTCTGGTACTGGTGTATTTGGTATCCCTTTGTAGTATTAATTCTGAATTGATTTCTGAGATGGATTTCTAACAGTATTAGCAGTATATATGTTATATTCATATGACTGCAGTTGCAAGAATAGCCAAACTTAGTGTAGAGTAAGAGATAAGTGCAGAGATTCTTGACATTTTTACATTTAGTTTATTTTGTACAAAATTAGCAATGAGGAAAAACAGATCTATTTGGGGAAGAGAAAGCCTCTTTTAAAGCATACACATAACAGTGAGTACTAGCTCTGTGTAGTTGTGTTGCTGTTATTACTGTGCATATCCAAGATGGGAATGAGATCATTTTGGGGCTGGATAGGGGGAAGGGGTGTGTTTACTGCACCAGCAGAAGTCTGGGTGTTTTAATCTCCTGAGCCTCTTCTATAGAGATGAGAAATACATGAAACGAGAATTAGTCTTGAGAAATAAAATCCAAATTGGAGGAAATAGTGAATCAGGGGCTTGTGAATCAGTGGAAGGCAGAGTGTTGGAGGTGCAAGAAGATGAATAGAGCATGGTCAGATGATGCTTGTAGAGCAGGCGGATAGCCCATACCTCTAACCAGAGCTTATCTTATGTTTGCTAATAGCTTAAGCTGGTTCTTATTCAAACTAAACCTTGCTCCTTCCTAACCCATATTGTGATATTGCAGTGTGTTGCAAGGCAGGCTTATTTGTCATTTTTACTGCATTCTCCATGACAAAAGGCTATGACATTATAAATACAGAATTATGACATATCAACAGGGCAAAGAGTAATTGGGAACAAAGAGAAAAAGCTCAGTTTTCTAAAAATGGAAAGCTCTAGTTTTTTCCATATATTCTCCCAATGCCACTTAGATGCCTGTCCTTAGCAAATACTTTCAGAGTATCTGGAGTCCACAAGAAAGACAAGAGGTTTCTTTTATGTCTGCTAAATATATCTTGCCATCCATGGCTTTTTAATGCCCTCCCATAGTATCTCTCTCCAGTTCTTTGTTCTAGTGCCTTTGTATTTTGTTTTACATACATATTAATCCAGATGTGTTAAATAATATCAGCCCCCAAGCAACAGTTCACTGAAACCTGCTTTCTCAGTTGAAGTAGTTTTCTTCTAATCCTGGGCCAAAATGTACTCAAGATGCCAGCGTCCCCAGGTCACCCTTTGAGAGCTTCTGTATTTAAAACCTTTAATTTCAGCTGGGTTCAGCCATCATAGCAGGAGCCAGATGTGCTTGGTAGGACAGTGACCTGTGTACCTGCAAACTGCAGCTGAGACATAGCCAAGTGTTGGCATTACAAAGCAGCTCAGCAGGGCTTGGTGCCAAAATTCTGCCTTTTTCTTTCCTCGGAATGTCAGTGTGATTTGTCCTTAAAATGTGTGAGATTACTAATAATTGGGAACTCTGAAACAATGTACTGAAACTCCTAAATGTGCCTCAGAACATATGTTTGTCATATAATGTATCACATACATTTAATTTGTCCTGACAAATGTGGGGATTTGTGGGGATGGGAAATTTGACTTCTCTTTCTGTCTCACCCATGTATCACTTAACAAACTTCATAACCTTTGTGGCAGCCTTATTAATCTGTTGCTAGAGATGCAACTTGTGCTTTACCTTTTAGGGAGCTGCAGTCTGTCTGTGCCACGTAAAAGGTGGTCTGGATAGCTCATCCTTTTCTTGAACTTGCACAGTACAAAAATGTGCATGGTTTAGACCTGCAGTGAGGTCAGGGTGCTAAATGCAGACCTCTCATTGCCTGTTTGAGCAGATTCACCAGCTCATAAAGCTAAATTATACAGGATGCTCCCCAGCTGCAGAGTTCAAAATGCAGGAGGATGCCAGGCACCTTCGTCTCTCTCCTGTGTGCAACAGATGCAGCCATCCTTGAACTAAATGCAACCTTAAATGCATCCTTGAACTAAATGCAACTGTTCTGAAGACTTGTTCTTTTCCAACTGTATTGATTTAGTGGGAAAACAATGATATCTTGTGTAGGTCTTGACTTGCTTTGTCTTCAGAAACAGCACGTAAAAAATTCTGACTGTATTCTGAGCTATTCTTTCTTGCTTTTCTCAGCAAGCAGGATGCAAAGGAAATTGTACACGTATATTTATGATTAATCATTAGGAGCCACTTAGCAATGGCAGTATGCTTGCTATTTTTGCTCTTTCCCCTTCTCATCCCATGGGTTTTTGTAAAAATAGAATGATTCCTCTAAAAGAATTGATACTATTAATTCTCAAGGCTCAGTACAAGGTAATCACAAAAGCAGAGGCAATTATCTTTGAGTGTTTTTTTGGCAATTATGCTTAAAAATTAATTAGATCACTGTTAACTACTATCTGTAGCTTTCTTTCCCAAGTTCATGTGCATTCAAGTGCCACTAAAAATGTAAACAGCTTTTAAAGAGGTTAGTCTCAAGTTTTTTATCAAACAGTAAATTTCAGCATTTACAATAAATAATCATTGATGAGCTTCCATCAGTGGCTGTCAGTAGCTCGCTGCTCTGTTCTGTGCAGAAAGCACTGTAGGTGTTTTCCATATTAATAGTTTTAATTTATAGTTGCATTCCTTTTCCTCTCTTCTCCTGAAGCTGATGGGTACATGTATGTGAGTAGGTGCGGACAATCTTCTGCTGGATCTGTTCAGGCTCCTGCCTGCCTCTGTACATTGACTCCAGGCTGGAAGGCATGTGGATGTGCCTCAAAATTTCAAGCACAAAGACTTCCTTGCCGATGAAACAGGAGGCATAAGCACACTGGTATGTCCCACTGAGCCTTTGGGGGATAGACTCTGCACAGCAAGGCTTTTAGGTGAGTGTAAAAAGAAATGAATAAAATTCCCCCCATCAGGAACATGCTGGGGCTGTCTCCCTTTCTTTATGAGATGCAGCATTCAGGAGTTTTGCAAGGTCACAAATCTCCTTAACCTGCCATCAAAAGCACATGTGTAGCGGCCAGACAAGGTGTACAGCTGCTCCCAGCCGTACATCAGCTCTGAAGACCAGCTCTTCCCAAGAAGGAATGAAAATGATGGTCAGGGACTGTCTGGGAAACCAGGGACCTGTTGGGCCTTCAGATGCTTTGGGGTACTAAGAGCCAGTTAAGGTGAAAATAAAAGACCTGTCTGCACCTGAAAGCTTAAATTTGATTTCTCCTGGTAATGTTTCTTTATAGCATCACCAGTGTCAACATTTATATGGCTGCTTTCTGTGAGAGTTATTTAACTTGCTCCCCCTGCCAATGTCAACAGGTGAAGCAGTAATTATTCCATAGCTTGGTAAAAAAAAAGAGATTAATTTATTAAAGCAGGAAAAACTTTAAAAGAAGTGCTAAGACAAAAAAAAAAAAATTGTGCTTCTCCCTAATAACTCTGCTAGAGCAGTGGAGAGCTGGGTGCTACAAATACTCATTTAATCAGTGCTTGGGAGCTCTGAACTAAGAAATACTTCAGCTTGTCTGCTAGCTGCTCTAATTGAAGAAGGAATTTGTCCATGTAAATGTAACACTGAATTGGTACCATTAATTAGAGTAACTTACAGTCAGCAAAAATATGCTTTATGGTTAGATTTAAATATTGGGATACCTAGCATTTGCATTGTGCCTTAGTTTGAGGTATCCACATGACTAGAGGCTTTACTCTTGATTTGTGCTGTACTTTTCATTGCTCTAGGGGTTAAAATAACTCCTGAGGAGCACACCCTTTTTTGCTTGCCTTCTCTCTCACCCCTTGTCTCCTACATTGCATAACAACTAAGCAATTTTGTTTGACTTGCTCACCCGGACTATCACCTCTCATGACTCCAAATGACTAGAGATAGCTGCCTGTGTAGCATCAACCAAAGCAGTAATTGCTTTTCCTCTTAAATCTATGATTTTAGTCAACATGTAAGCTTCAATTAGGATTTTAATTGTAGCAATTAGGATTTTCACTGCTCTTATTTACAGGATTAGCTGACTAAAGATAAATTGTACATTCTTTTCTTTTGCTCTTGTTTTCTTGTGTCCTGAGATACCTAATCAGAGGTGTTCTATGATTGCTTATGTACTGTGATTGCTTATTATTCTTCATTATAATTAAGCTACCCTTTGAATGCAGTCTGTCACACTGAAGTGAGTTTACACACAGAAGAGAAAAACTAAATTATGCCAATGTTACCACTTAATAAAAATTACTAACTTGCAGGTATTTGGGAGAAAAGTTTAAAAGGTTGTAAGTTTGGATTCCCTTTCTGTATATTTTTTATTTTGTTTTCCTGAGGTCTGTGAGCTGTCCTTGGAAACCTGACGGTAGCTGATATAGTGTCCTCGAGAGGACCATGAGCCTTTTACGTGATGCTCTCCAGGCATGGGAACAACTCGCCAAGTATTCTGCTTCTGAGGATGGCCAAAGGCTGATGCCTGTGGAGGGAGGTTTAAGGAAAGAGTGAGCCTTTTATGGGATTGCCCTTGGTAGTAACCCCAGCTTGCCACCAGCTGTGGCTCACAGACTTCCTACGGAGTTTGTGGCGTTCCGTGTTTTTTCCTTCAATTAATTCCTCTGGTCTTGCTTTGCACCCAGCAATCTCAGAGCATTGAGTGACTTAATAAATACCCTGAGTTTTCATGTGTATTATCTGATGGTGTAGTACACATAGTTATGTGTTATTTTTTTCCTTGCTTGATTTGTCATAGCAGCTTTAGGCTGCCGTTGTTCAGTTTTCATCTTTGTATCTTCCAGCTTTGTAGAAATTCTCATTTTAGGTAGTTGTGGTAGAACTCTGAAACTGTGGTTTTTTATAAAGTACTCTGTGAGCAGTGTTTCTTCGTGATACTGCTCAATTTTGCCAGCAGATTCTAAGTCATCCTGTGATGTGTCCTTATGGATGAACCTTTCTGATCTTTTGGAGCCTTTTGTCCAGGAAGAGAAATTTGGGTTCTGACTTTTGTGACATATTTCCTTGTAGCTCTTCTGCTGTTTCTGGCTGCCCTAATGGCCATAATAGAGCTAGAAAAAAAAAATTAAAACCTTTTTACTATTAGCCTCAAAGGAAGTAACATACTGGCAGACACAGATAGCAATACCTGACAGCAATTCTCAGCTTGTGCCTTTTTAAATTAAGAATTCAAAATATTCAAGCTGTTCCAGCCAGGAATGAGTGGACAAGGTAGAGCAAATGTGAAATGATGTTTGTCTTTTCTAGCATGTGAAATCCATGCATGCCACACTCTTCATAGATCATAAAGTTCTTGATCCTGAGGTGAGTCTACCTTTTGAACTCTGTTTCTATGCAACTATTGGACTCCCATTCAGAGTCATGCCTCAGAACTGCCCTGGCTGGTCCCCTTGTTGCAGCACAGGAAGTTTGCATTGAAAGCTATTTGTCCTGCACAATATTTGGCTTTTCAGTTTTTGTTTTGTACATTTCTTCTCACTGACTTCAGAAACTGAAGTGAAGCATATTTCTGATACATTGCAAAGTTGGTCCTAATATATATACTTTTTTAGAGGACAATGTAGCAGTGCAGCTTCAGAGTGGGATAACTCCATGAGCTGCCAAGTTGCAGGTTATGAATTTTACCTGAAATGTACAAGTAATTCCATAGTTTTAAACTCAAATTCTTTCTAAAGCTACTCCTCAGATTACACCAGGGCATGTAGCAAAGCAGAAGGAGGCTTGGCAGTGCTTGAGCCCCTCTGATTGAAAGCTCAAAGCCCTGTCATCTTCCCTCTTTCCTTTGCTTCTCTTCTGTCAAGCAAAAAAAACCCACTGTTCTTTTTGCATGATTCCAACAGTATATTCTTGTGAGGAGTAACTTCTGGATCTACTTCCCTCATAAGTGATATAATAGATACTGTAACTGTCCACTGCTGCTTTACTCATTGAGGATTAGTCAGGTGTTGGGACAGAAACCATTACTTTAAAAAAACGTGGCAAAAAGGTTTAAAAAAACCTTGCCAAACCTTCTGCTAGAAAAATGCATGGAAGTTTTCCTTTGCACAAGCTGCTACTGAAATTCATTCATGTTTACTTGACAGGTGTGCTACTAGCATTGAATAGCTAATAAATGTAAAGTACAAGATGAAGACCTTTAGTTTGCATTACCTTAAATTTAAGACTGCCGTAATAAAGTTAAAATGCCATTCTGTGTTAGCGTTATTTGTTGACATATTACTCATTCTTGAGTAGTTAGAAACATAAACTACTTATGGTTGTTCTCTTGGCAATTGAATATTAGGGCTATTATTATTTCATGCTGCGGTATTAACTGCAGATGGCTTAGCTGTCTGCCGTCCCCTGCAGGTTTTAAAGCCTGGTGATGCTGTAGTGAGTGTAGGAAGAGAAAAATGTGAAATCGAAACCTGGAATGACTAATAATTACAACTTGGTATGTGTGTGAGAGAAGAGGAACAGCTGAGATGTTTTCTATAACACATTGTACTTCTGCTCAAAATTAATTCAGGTAATAAAAAACTTCGTACTTCATCATACAGAAGCTCAAATTAATGAAGGTGAGAAAAGATTATGTTGCTGAAAGTGTAGATTAATAGTAATAAAGTAATAATAAAAGATGTGTGTGACGTGCAGGTCACTAAAGCTGAAGGTCAGTCCTCAGCACAGTGTCACCAGTGGAGATGTGACTATAATAAGGATGTTGCTGTGGGCTGGGAAGCCTGGTTTTGCAGTTCTCTCTGCCCTACAAGGAGCTGCATGAATGTACTGGAAGTCTCTCCTGATTGCTGGGGTGTTACGTTGAGTCATGGTATTAATTATAGCTCCTGGATGAACTGCTCAGGTCATGGTGTTCAGCTTGTCAAAACATTGGTTCCACATAGTGCAGGCAGATGACTCAGGCAGAATCAAAGGCTGGCATTTGCCATTACGCTGAGGATTCAGTGGAGGATTTTTGGTGGATGTCAGTGATAGATGACAAGAACTGAATATTGGTGCTAGGAAACCACTACTCTAAAGAGAAATATGTTACTGCATCATTTTAGAATCATAGAATCATTTAGGCAGTAACAACCTCTTACGGTTATCAAGTGCAACCAATAACCCATCGCTGCCTAGTCCACCTCTAAACTGTGTCCCCTAGTGCCACATCTACATGTCTTTTAAATAGTTTCAGGGATGTTGACTCTACTCCACTTCTCTGGGCAGCCTGTTCCAAATGCTTGACACCCCTTTGCATGGGAAAAAAAAAAAAAAATGTAATGTCCACTCTAAATCTCCCTTGATGCAACTTGAGGTTGTTTCTTCTTGTCCTGTCGCTTCTTTGGAGCTTGGTGGACTTGGTCTTCTCTTTTCAGGCTTGAAGAAATGGTTCTTTTCACAGCGAGTGTCTCAGGGACATTTGATGTGCAGCCCCTAGTATTGAGTGGGTGAGTTTTTTTAATGCTTAAATTGGAAATGGGGATGTGTTATATGAAATGCATCAGTGCAAATGCATCTTTAAATTCTATAGATTTTGAGGAATTTGGATACAGAATTTGGATACCATAATGAAGTAGGAATGCAGTTGACTAGGCAGGGTGCAAATTTCAAGAATAACCAATAGTATGCTGTGTCTCATGCAACACAAAATCATTGGAGTTCATGAGCTTCTCGTATATGATACTGTTGTTTTGTTTTTCCTGTCTGCACAGGATTGAAAGAAACAGTAGTTGAGGAGGAAGAGATGAATGTTTTAAAGGGTATCAAATATCTGTACACAGAAGTCATTACTTGGTTTACACAGAGCATGGCTTCATTTGGTAATAGATGTAACCAGCAGGAAGAAAACACGATACATTGCTGAAATATTACTTATAACTGAAAATGCTGCAGTTGCATATTGCTCTCCCATTCTACAAATTCTGTCAGAGGCTGATATTTCACTGTGCCTGAATGACTGATAAACATTGTGTGGGAAGCTGCTGCTTACCTGTCTATTCCAGTTACATTTACTTCCTTATGGAGAGGTGGAATGTGAACCTTCTCTGTTTGCGGAGACCAAAGCATTTTTTGGACATGTTTATACTAGAATAAATTTATACTGGAGGATATGAAGCAACTAGAATTGCCTTTTTGTTTGCCCTGTTTAAATTCCCACCACATAAGCTTAATTACACATTTTGAGGTGAAGACTGAAGAATTAAACTTTCAGGAACACTCAGAATTCACCTGATTTTTACTGCAGTGGTTTCAAGATGGTTTTCCATAATTTTTAATAGAAAAAGTAGTTAGAGCAGTGCTGAGCACATGTGAAAATCCTATCTTGTAGAATGTGCATTTGAATTATATAAAACTCATACCTTTTTTCAAAGTGCCTTTCAGACCAGCTTAACACGGAAAGTATTTTATTGCTTAAGAGATAAACAATTGCAGCAATCAGAACCCAAGAGTGTTTTCAATTTCAATTTTAAAAACCCACAGAAGGTCAACTAGTGCTTTAAAATGTTGGTGCAGAAATCAGAGCAGGGCATTGCAAGCCCACGCGTCTTTTGCAGCCAAACTTCTGTTCTAGGTTGTTCTGTATTTTGCGTGTGAGAGTCACCGCGGAGCATCTGTTAATGCATCACTGAAATGGAACCACTCGTAGCCGTGGGGGAGGTAGTGGGATGCTCTGTCCTTACTCATCCCCCGTCCCGATGTTCGGCCTGCCGGCGCTGCAGCGATGTGTCACGGTGGCACAAACAGGTTGCCAAGCAGCAGCTGCCTTTGCCAAGCACCTTGTTTGGAGCCGTGACTGCTCCGCACACGGCTATTTGTGGCACGGAGTGAAATGCTCAGCGGGCTTGGCTGGCCACCGAGCCGTCTCTGTAAGAGTCCCTGTCTGCCCCTGGCAGCCGCCGGCACGGGCAGCCAGGTTGGAAAGCTGTGCAGAGAAGGCAGCGTGGAGTGAGGCGGCAGTCATCCTTCAGCAGGGATTAGGCTGTGCGCCTATTTTTGCTATTGTTTACCAAAGCCCTTCTGGTAACCGCTGTGGAACACTTCTCCCTCCCTCTTCTACCATTTCCTTCAGCACCTACCCTACCGCCAGTTTTGGTTCCTGATAAGATCCTCAGTGTGCCAAGAGGAGACTGTCTTTCTCTTTCATATCTACCTTTTCTAGTTAAACACTCAACTTCTTTTTTCCCTAACACTGCATCTTTAACAACAGGCTGCTTGCTATGTTTTGTCCCATATCCCAGGGAATGCCCTTGGGAAGCTGCTGCTGCTGCAAAACAACCTCTTACATACTTGTCACTCTCCATGGACAGCTTCACCTCAAAGTAACCTAGAATTCCCTGATGAAAATGCAGTATATTTTTAACAATGTATTTCAGATCTTCGCAGCATACCTCCTACAAAATGTCAGAAAAGAGAAGGATGGCCAGCTGCTCTGTATTTGTGGATTACCAGACCTCCACAGTAGAAGCTGGGTTTTGCTTCAGTAGCATAAATGCCCTTTTTAAACTCCTGGCAAGCTCCTTCTTGTTTAATGGAAAAAACTGGGAAACTGGAGAACCAGGCAGCTTCTACTTATTGCACATAAGGAATCTTATTACTTTGAAGGACTTCTTCCTGTCAAAAACTAGGAAGATAAAACCAGGCTTTTTGGATGGACATCTTACTGCAATAACTTGCTGTAATATTTGCTTTGCTACAGCCATGCAGAAGACTGCACAGTGGCAAGCTGAAGAAGCAATGAAATGTTTTCTTGTGGATCAAAGAGGGTATGAGGCAGCAGAAGTGGCTTCCAACCGCACTGGTCACCTGTGGATTTCAGGTTACTGCAAAATTGTAGTAGTCCACCAGGAGAAAGTCTCTACAGGGCACTTTTGATTTGCAGCAGCATCTTCCCTGGAGAATTGTCTGTGATCTGGGACAAAATATAGGAAAATATTTGGGAAATTGTTGAGAAAATAGTGATAAGAGGAAGAGATAGGCTGACTTGCTGTTTGTTATCTTAGTAGTTTCATGCACCTTTACTAATCCTGGATGAATCAGCAATTTTAGTCCACTGCAGTCAGTCTCGCTGAAGTTTTTTATACCCACAGAAGCTCAGCACTGACCTGTGCAAGAAGTGTTGGGAAGCAAGACGAAGAAGAAGAGCTGGCATCACTATACCTGCATGTCTGTTGGCAGACACTGCACATTTTCATCATTCATGTTTTAAAGAATGCAGAAACCTTTTATTCCAGGACTGCAGTGGTGCTCTGGCAAGATCTTTGTGCCCTTGGGCTACAATCTGAGCATTGCTTCATCTGCAGCTTGCCCCATGACAGATAAAAATAGGGCTTGAGCTGCAGCCAGGCTGTGTCAGTGGTGAGGGTGCAGCCTCCTTAGCCTGTTAGAGCTTGACTCCTGGTAGCTTTGGCATAGGGTGAATAATCACACCTACAGACAGGCAAGTAAGAAGGGTCATGCTGCCCGGGCCCCACCTACGCAGGGAAATAGCTTGCCTAGGGCCTTGCTCCTTGTTGAGGGGAAGTGAAGGAAAGACACTGACCAAACCCATTCCACAAATTTGTCAGCAGAAGCAGCAGCGTAGGACTGCGTTGGCTGAGCTGCAGGAAGGTGGCTGCCTGCAAGCTCAGGCCTGCATGGAGGGTGGCATGTGGGCTGCTGTATGCTTGCTGAGCAAGCTGTCCTAGCTGATGGTGAGAGATATGGCCAAAAACCATCACCAACCAGACCCTCTGTGGTAGGTCCTAGGGAAGGTACAGGTATATTAAGAAATTGTAGCCTTGACTGGACATTCTGTCATATCCTGTGACAGTACAAGAGGAAATAGTTTCAAGTTGTACCAGGGGAGGTTTAGATTTAAGATCAGGACAAATTTCTTCACGGAAGCGTTGCCAAACACTGGAACAGACTGCCCAAGGAAGTGTTAGTGTCACTGTCCCTGAAGGTATTTAAAAGATGTGTAGATGTGGCACCTGGGGACATAATTTAGTGGTGAATGTAGCAATATTAGTTTAATGGTTATACTCAGTGGTCTTCAGGTCTTTTCCAATCTAAATGATTCTGTTATTCTCTGATCTTAGTTCTAGTTTCTCTGTTTGTTCCTGTTACTCGTCTTCTTGCTGTCCTCTGCTTCCTCATGCCCCCTCACTGACTAGCAGATTCTTCAGCTACCAGTGTGCTGTGTGTCATGAGCACAAAGTGCATGCAGTTCTGCAGTTCAACTGATTGCTAACAAGGCTGAGACAGTTCAACACAAAAGTTAATTACTCAGGAGGGCTTCCCAAAAGCCTTTCTTTTCTGCAGTTAGAAAGTGCTGGAAGCTGAGTATCCCAGATCTGCGACAAGCACTGTGCTTCAAAGAGGGAAAGGCTGAAGGAGTCTGAATTATTAGCTGCAAGTCTTACTTCAGTGAGTGTTCTTATGTTGGATAGTTGTTCTACATGCAGCACATCACTGTAAATAAAGCTTTGGTTTTCCTCCTTCATATATTGTCCATTATGGCATGCCTGTCAGTTTTGTTAATGGCCTGAGAAACACAACAGAAATTAAACCATCTGCCTGTACCTACTCCTTGTGTGAAGTACTGACAAGAAGAAAGACACAATAGATAAATTCAATACATATGACTTAGAAGACACAAGTGGAGAATTGAAAGCCATTTTTACAATGTAATTAACACACTATAGCATTAAAGCAATATTTACCTGGAGACAGGAGTCTTCTGTTCCTGCTTTCCACTGTTGGTTTGCCCATGATAAAATATTGTTGGACTCTGCCTCCACGCCCCCTCAGCAGAAAGAAGCTGCAGCCGAGTTTGGTGGTGAACTTATTTGCTGACATAGGTTACTCACACCACCGCTCTCCTGGGTAGCTTTTGTCAGCAGCCAGCAGCAAAGACCCTTTCCAGCATCCGAGTTTACATGAGGGCCTGGCAGGGGAGTGTTCTCCTCTGTGCACAGCCAGCTCAGTAAATCTCAGCGTGACAGGCTCACAGCCCTGCTGCTGAACTTTTAACTTGAAGCTCTAGCAGGGTGCTGAGTGTCTCCAGCTACATGACACGAGCTGTGAAAGTAAACCACTTCGCTGGGAACAAGGGGAAGTCCAGCATATTGTTTTGCGGACTTTGCCTACAGTTTGCTTGCAGTGTAAGCATAGAATATATACACCTGGGAAAGCAGTGAGAGCGAGATGGACTTCCAGCACAGAACTCAGCCGTTCCCCATCCCAGAGGATGAAGAGGTTGCGTACAAGGTCGCTCCCGATGCTCACAACTCCGCAGGAAATGAAGGCGAGAAACCGGTGTCAAAATTGCAACGTAGGCACAGTGAAATAAAACTCTACAAAGAGTTTTGTGACTTTTATGCAAAATTGTAAGTTTGTTCTGTTCAGCTTCGGGGTGTGACTGCAGTGACATTAACTGGTGTATTGTACATAATGTATTTTATTATCTGGGGCTCAGGCTGTGCAAGCTGTTCTCTCATCCAACCTTTGCCACTGTTCTGCTTGAAACATTGCCAGTTGTAACTGTCAAGTAAAATTTGGATTGTTACTTTAAATTTCATCATTAATTGCATCAGAAATTTTTATCAGCAGTAAAAATGGTGTTGGAATTTTTAAAGTAGTCTCTCTGCTTTCAGGTTGTTTGCCAGTTATTCTGGGCAAATGGAAACCGCTTCATTAATTAAGAAGTATTACATACTTCACTAGTTTTACATATATGACGTGTTTCAAAGTGAAGCACTTTTTCCTGTAGAGGGAAACTGTTTTTATTTGGTTTTGAACTTTGTTTCATGTTTTTCTTGGATTATACTTTACGTACAGCAGTACTTAGCATCCTTAATGCTCGACCCCTGTTGAAGCGATGATGAAAGATCCCAGTTTCTCTTGTGATTATTCTTCATTTAGATTGCTAAGGAGGATGGAGAAATTGACTGAGGTTTTGCCCCACAGAAAGCATACACAGTCCATGAAGACCATTGGCGAGCTTTATGGTTGATCACAGTTTACGGGTATAGTCACTGCAGTTTGTCCATAGGTCCGTCTGTTATTTATGGATTAGACCATCCTGCATCCGATCTTCATGTGAAATTTGCCTGCTCATTCCACTGTGAGGGCAGTGGATATTTGGATTGCAGTTGCTGCTTTCCTCATCTGCAAAGATCAAGAGAGAGAAAAAAAAAAAGTGACAGCTAATAATAACATGTCAGATGTGACCTTGTGTAGGGCTCTTCTGTGAGACAGTGTAAGAAATAGATAAAACACATTCCATTTTGAACCACGTGCTAGGTGTTTGCTTGCTCCCTTGGATGGTGTGCAAGGAATGCATTCAGTTCCTATTGAACATGGTGGGAGCCCAGAGGTCTTATCCCCTTGAAGGGATAAGAAAGAAGGCTTGGCATCTTGCAGGGGACTGTGGGCTCTGCACTTACAGGCACAGCATGATAGCTGTATCAAAATGTGTGCATGCATGCACATGTGTTTCAAATAATGTCACTTGTCTAATAACCTTCCAGATAAATTTTGAGTCAGTGGTTTTGTCAGCTGACATCACATTGTAATGAAATTAGACCATTGCCCTAAATTTGCTCTCTGCTACCACATGGTATTAGGGCAGTGGGATGATCCTGAAAGCCAGAGCGTTGAGAGTCTAGATATGAGTGACAAGATGTTTGCAAAGGAAAACTCAAAAGAGCCTTTTTCTGGCTTTAATTAACTGAAACACATCTGTACTGTCTTCTGCAGCTACCACACTGCCATTTTTTTGGTCCTGTGCCTTTGAGAAGCAGCCAAGGTTGCTGTTTCAATATTTCTTTGCATCTCTGGCATGGGTTTGCCAGCTTGTGTTGGCTTGCGTGTGGGTTGCAGTGGGGCAACCAGAGCATTCCCACCCTCCCCCTGGGCCCTGGAGTGAGCTGGCACGTGACGAGCTGACCTCCCTGAGATAAACCTTAACAAACCAATCAAAAATCCCATGACTTCAAACTAAATTTGTAAAATTACTTCAAGCTATGCAGAGCTCGTTTAAAGAATAATTATTTAACTACTCTGTTTTTCATTAATATCTGCCAGACTAGATCCTGCACACTCTATCACATTTTTTATTTGGAGCTCTGAACTAATGCCATTGTATATATGTATATTTTAGAACTTATATATGTATATATTAGAATTGGTTTGCAATAAATTGTTTTCCTGCGTGATGCCAGTCCTCCATCATTAATATTTGCCCTTGTTTTCTGTAATTTTAATGTATATCATAATTTTTATAGTACTTTGAATTACCTGTCTTTTTTCATCATAAAAAGCCTGTAAATGTGTCTGTAGTGACAACGTTTCTCTTTGGGGTTTTCAATTAATTAGAGAATATCACAGGGATTTTGTTTCTAAATAGTTAGGGAGCAGGGAGAAGTGGTAATTTTATTTCCGAGGAGATGCCGCAAGCCATGAAGTTCATTGAAAAACTTGTGTTGAGCAGCCTAGCATTAGGTTGATGCAGTTTGGCATGGTGAGGGGAGGTGGGGGGAAGACCCACAACCAGTGTTGTCTATTTAGGCTAATTTTCTATTAATTTTCTTGTTTTTTGAATGACAGCAACATGGCGAACGCTCTTGCAAACGCCATCTGCGAGCGCTGCAGGGGCGGCTTTGCTCCTGCCGAGAAAATTGTCAACAGCAATGGTGAGCTGTACCACGAGCAGTGCTTCGTCTGCGCCCAGTGCTTTCAGCAGTTCCCCGAGGGGCTCTTCTATGAGGTAAGTGGGGCAGAGGACCCCTCCTGTCCCCATACCCCCTCCTGAGCCTTCCTTATCATAGCAAAAGTAGCTACAGGCAGGTGGCTAGCTTGGAAAGTCCCATGGGAGGATCTGGGCTCTGACAGAGTATGCCCAGGAAAGGGAGAAAAAAACCCAGGAGGACATCAATGTATATAACATTCTTTAAATGTGGACCTTAATGTTATCAGTGCTGAGAGAAAAATTCCTGGAGATCTTTTTCTCAGTGCAAATTTTTTCCCTGAAACTTGTGAATCTGATGTATCATACCAGAAATACATAGGAAACATACTTCTTAGAGGAGAAAGTCATATAGAGGGAAATCCCAGCATCCTGTGGTCCATAGGAGGTTTATCACTGAGTTGAGTGAGTCCAGTTTGGCATTGGAAAAGGGATGATCTGTTTGTGAGCATGCTGATGGAAACCAGACCAGTGTAAGATCAACTCTTAAGTTAAACAGTCCAGAGCATTCGAAATCACCAGTTCTTACACATTTTCAGGGGTTAAAACCTGATCTTATTCATATTTCTCAGCTCCAGGTTGATTTACTTCAGCTTAGGGAGGGTATTTTGGAATAGGTTTAATTTTCTTTTATGTTCCCCTCTCATGGTAATTCAGAATGTGGCTCACCACAAAGTGGCTTTAGTGAAAGCTCTAGACTGGTTCATAAAATTCGAACTGATTAGTATAGGGAACAATAGATGGTGTGAGACAGGGAGTTACTGTCAGAGAGATAAGGCCCTGCTCGAGTAGTTTACAGTCCATCTTAGGGTTGCAGTTACAGGATTTGTGTCATATGATGATCTGAAAAGGAAAATGAGCAGAGTGTAAAAGGAGTAATTCTGTGCTCTCACATACAGGTGTCATCCTTTGGCACGAGCACAATAGTTATCTTCCACAGAAGCATTTCTAATTTTACAGAGCCCTGGTAATGAGGAGAGGCTGAGGGAGGAGTGTGGATTGCAAAAGAGACTGGCTAAGGGGATTTGCTTTTTCTCACCTTGTTTGAGGATCAAAAGGCTCTAGAGATAGTGTTACACAAATTGTAGTAAATTAGCCTCTAGTGTTCCATAAGACATCAAAAGGTGAGCTGCGAGGCAGAATTAATTAAATAGAAACAAAAGAACACCCTCCTAGATACTTAACAAGTTGCATTACAATTGTTAATATATACTGAGCTGACTCGGTAAAGAGTCCATCCTGACATGTTAAGACCTGAGGCAAATGTGAAGTGATATGAACATTTCAAAATTAAAGTATTTGTAATTATGTTAGTAAAATTGTCTAAAACCAATAAATTTATTTTCTCTAAATAATGAATGCTTTATTCATTCTTTTTCTGACTCAAAAAGCAATGAGTCATTCCAAAGACCTTTTTCAGAAAGTTGAATGGTCCTTAAAGGTAAAGGTTTGGGAAATCATGCCCTAGGCAGCCTGTATTTTCTAGAGGAGACTACTGCAGAAAGAAAGACCTACTTTTGGATGTAGTTCAGGAATGTTACAATCTCTCTGTGTTGCTCATGGCTGGTCATACCTGAATCTCCGTGGCAGAGGCAAGTATCCTAGTGGTGCTTTGATATTCTGGATGTAGGCATTTTGCTTCCTACTGCTACCTTGTTAACATTCATATTCATGATGATTGGTCTTTGAGTGCTCTCTTACTGAAACACGAATTGAAATAACACTGTGTGCTAAACATGTTTTGGCTAATGTTGCTAGGGTTTTTTTTTCAGGCTGGCTAGCCTGAGAAATGTTACATAGGAAGTGGAAAGTTTCAGTTAAGGATAGACACTTCACAATTATTACAGAGGTACAATAATGTTGGATAGGCTGAGGGTGCTGGGCCTGTTCAGACTCAAGAGACGACTGAGAGGGAACCTCATCAATGTCTATAATTATCTGAAGGGAGGGTGTCCGAGGGGAAAGCCAGGCTCTGCTTGGTAGTGCCAAGCAATAGGACAAGAGGCAACAGGCAGAAACTGATGCACAGGAAGTTCCACCTGATCATGGGGAAGAACTTCTTTACTGTGCACTGGTACAGGTTGCCCGGAGAGGTTGTGAAGTCTCCCTCACTCAAGATTCTTAAGAAAAGTTCCACCTGATCATGGGGAAGAACTTCTTTACTGTGCACTGGTGGTACAGGTTGCCCGCAGAGGTTGTGAAGTCTCCCTCCCTCACTCAAGATTCATCTGGCTGCAATTCTGTGCAGTGTGTTCTAGGATGACCTTGTTTGAAGAGGGAGGTTGGACTAGATGACCCCACCTCCAAACTGACCCATTCTGTGAGAGGAAGGAAAGCTCTGAGCAGGTAGAAGGTGGGCTTAGGTTGGTGAGTGCTCAGGAGTGGCTGACAGTGCTCAGAGGACTTGAGATAATCTATCACTATCAAAAACTGTGGCTGGAGAAGAGGGAGAGAAAGGACATCTTCCTCAGACTGGCTTAATGCAGTCTTTGAGAAGATGGATGTGTTTGGAGGTGTGGCCAGGTAATGTGTTTTTCTGAGCAGGTTCCTGTGGGTAAACACAGGAGCAGGTTCCTGTGGGTATTGTTGGTTGCTCAGCATGAGCTTGTGTTTACTCTGTGCCTGGTTTTGTGCCTAAGCTAGTATTTCTTGGAAATGATTTCCAGCTCTTAGCAATTAGGAAGGCAAATACTGTTCCCCTGCCTATTGCAAGCCTTGCAGGGTTCCCCCGGTTAGTCATTAAGCTGCTTATCACACTTGCTGTCAGACGCTGCCATGATAAGCCTTCATGCTGTGTTCCACAGGTGGGGGTGGAACTGGCCAGGTCTCCTGTGCTGCAGGACTTACCTCTGGGCTGCCTTCAAGCACCCCCATCAGCACAGCTCGCTGTGTGTGGCACTGGAGCCAAGTCACTCACAGGCACCAGTGATGCCCATCCACTGCTTAGAGTCTGCACAGCATAGCAGGGGTTTTGTGGATGTCCTCTTGAGCCTGTGTTAGAAATGATAGTTTGGATTCCTGAGACCTGCACGCCTGATGTGGCACAGAAACTGTGGGTACAGTGTATTTGATTTGTGTTCCAGTTTGCTCAGTAACATCATTTTATCAGGTTTTTTTTTTATGCATTCAGTCGAAACAAAAATTAGCACAAGCCCATTCCAGTAGAGTTCTCTGTTCTTTGCTGTTAGGTGTGAAGTGGTAGCAATTCTGGTCTGCTTCTACTCTGCCACCTGGAAGGTGTGTATTCCCTAGAGGTGCTATTGTAGAGTTTGTCTACAGGTAGCAGTGCACAGTCCTATACTAATAGCAGAACAGATGGTCATGTTTGTTTCTGTTCACGAGTGTTTTCTTAAAATGGTTTTTACCAACAGCTGCCTTAGAGAAACAACCTCTAAAGTCTCCGTTTTTGTGCATGACTTTCCACTTAAGTTAGCTAAAAACATAGGTAAGCTGGAGGTTATTTCACAGTGAGATGTTTTATGCAGAGCCATTTACCTCATGGGCCTTCAGCATACAAAAGTGAAATGCTTGCTTCTAAACTATGTACTGTCAGATTTGTTACAGAAGCTCAAGGCTTTCTGTGATAATAACTGCTGGGTCATCCACAAAGGGCAGCACAAAGGAGCAGAGGTTGAAAATAGAAACAAGACTGAATGGAAAACAGCCTGCCTGATGCAAACAAAGAGGGGAAGAAAACCTGTTTGGTCTGTTCAGATGAACATGTGGTGACTTTGAAATCCGGGCAAACCTAAGCATCCTCCACTGGACCACCTGTTTAAACAGAAGAGGAAGCTTTCAATTTTTTTTCAGATTGAAAAGGATTTTATCATGCAGGAAGCAAGCACAATTCACAATGAATGAGTAATTTCCATTACTCCTTGAGAAAGTAATAGCCCTGTACCTCTCAATTATTACTTTTTTTAAAAGCCGAAATGAAAAAGTAATCTCTTTTAGAGTATTACACTGGAATAACACTTGATAAATTTCTGAAAGAGACTTCTGAAAAGGTCTGTACTGAGTTAATGTCTTTCTGTTCCTAATAGGTGCAATTCATGTTTGGCACAGGAATTTTCTAACCATAAGTATCTAGTGAAATGTTTTATTAGATCGCCATCCTGCCAGTTGCAAAAGTATTTATAATATTTACATTGTATTAGATCTTTGTCATTTCATATTATACAATAGGTGATCTTGTACCACATTTCTGTATTTTCTGTCCATGCACAAAACCTTACTTTCCGGGTAGTATTTTATACTGCTCACTTGGTTTTGTCTTAGGCTCAGTGAAAAGAAAGGAGTGAGATTTCCTGTTGTCCTCCTTGTTCCATTGTTTAAACTGAGACATTCAAATCCAAACATTTAATGGCATACCTAATATTGTCCACCTGGTTTTGACATGCTCATTGGCATTTGTGTCTAATAATAATGGTGCCTGAAGGTATCTAAACATTTCCCTTCATTTCAGCACATATTTGCCTACATGTTTTTACATATTCTTTGGCTAAGCTACTAATGCAGTGCTGTTGAGTCTTTTTGTTCCATATGGGGTTTTTTTTTCCAATGTCAGCTTGAACTGTAGCTGAACTTACATAAGCTGTGATAAAATTCAAATCCCTTAGAAGCAATTTAACTTCATTGATGTAGTGAACTCTGCTCTTTAATATTTGGACTTGATTATCTTAAGGGTCTTTCCCAACCTAAATGATTTTATGATTCTATGAAATAAGCATCATGAAGGAAAAGGCTTATTTCTCTTCATGTTTTGGCTGAACTGCTCCATAAATTACAAAGATTTCTGCCCCTGGGTGTTCTTCCTACACCAACCTCCACCCTTTGGTATGCTGGGTCATTCTGGCAGGATATGTAGAATGAGGAAGACATCAAATAGGTTTGGGAAAAATGCTTCTCCCCTCCTGCTGGCCAAGGCTGTTTGTTAGCTAATTTCCTGCTCAGAATGTGTTTGGTTGCTTCAGTTTCAGTAGTCTGTCAAAATTCAGACATCTCTTGTGATGTAAATGGGTGACAGAAGATGCACTCTCAGCAGTACTGGTGAAATGGTGTGCTATTAGCACTACATGCTAACTAGTAGGTGAATTAAGGTGGGTGGATGTACTACCTAGCACATGTAGCTCATGGTCTGGTTGTTTTTGCTCAGCCCCTCATGTTTTACTACCTAATTGTATCTGGAAACACACCAGGCTGTTACAGCATTTATGTTAATGCAAGTTCCTCATCCATCTTTCTATTTGCAGTTTGAAGGGAGGAAGTACTGTGAACATGATTTTCAAATGCTTTTTGCCCCTTGCTGCCATCAATGTGGTAAGTTTAAAGGTGAAAAACTTCACACTGATCACAAATGGGAGTGTCGCTGGGGGAAGATGCTGCCCTTGTATCTGTTTCCTGGGAGGTGCTTATGTTCAGCTGAGCATCTGTACTTCAGGAATGAGCTAGACTTCAGAGAAACTGGGGAGTTGCTTTTTCTAAAGGTCATAAACCAGTAGGATTTAAAAATAAAATTTTTTCATAAATAATTTTTTACTAAAATTCTTTTAGTAAATAATTTAGCTGTTGAGCCGATGATCCAATGAACCATTGCTAAATTGACCATTGACCATTCATAAACTCCTGATTGTATATACCATTATATATAATACTCCTGATTATTTATATCTGTATTTATATATGTGCTGACATTTGTCTTTTCTCATGTAGCTGAAACCATGCAACAAGACTTTGTCATCTGCTTTGACTCTTATCAAACCCACCTGTGCTGTCCTACTTGACAGAACCTGAGACAATATTCATCATCTAGTGTTATAATCAAGTGATGGTCAGCTGGGCCCCCGCTGATTTTTTTGAAACAAATACCTTTCAGGCTTCAGTGTCTAATGTCCATCCTACATGATACTGAGGGCTGCTTTTTATTTGCCACTTGATTTAGATGCTTGTGCATCTGCTGCACTGTAATTACTTGCATGTTTTCTTTTTCCCCCGTGTGTGACGCATTTTGCTGGGCCAGAGCTGGGAAGTTATTATTTGACTATTCCCTAAACTGTTCTGGAAATCCTTGTGTTTCTTTGGCACCTTTGGCAAGGTGCTAAAGCTTTAATTTATCTCAGTGAGGCCTTTCCTTTTGTGGAGGGAGGTGTTGAACAGCAAGGGAGAGGGAAGCAGGTGCTATGGAACTATGAATTTAAGGCTGCAGATGTGAACAAGCAGAGGAAGAGGAAGAAATGGGTTGGTGGCAATTTGTGAGGAGCTATGCTGCCTATCTCTAGGATTTTTCCTGCACAGTTGACACAGCTCTACCTTCTCCAGTCCTCTCTCCTGGTATTGCCAGCTCCTTTAAAACCTCACCAAGGTCCCTGCCCAGAGCTGGGCTTTTGCACTGCTTGTATTTAATAAACACGGATGAAGTTAATGGGGCTGTTGTCAATGATGAGGCCTTGAGCATTCCTGACATATCTGGAGTCCATTGGATTTGTTCTTGCAAAGCCATGACTTCATGGGAACGCGACAGTCACATGCTGGATGTTATTGTCCACACCGTTACCTGCCTGATCGCTCCCCTTTGGCAGCTCTTGGAGTTATTCTCCAAAGCTAGAGCTCAGTCTCTGACAGCACTGGGAAGCTGAGCTCCCAACACATTTTGCACTGCTCAGAACCCCTGGCTACACTGTCCATCAGCACAGAGAACAATTAAGTCACGCGTGATGGACATCACTCCACTGCCTGTGCAGTACAGTCACACTGCGTGCAAAACACTGGTTCTTACACTGGTTTTTTTAATGCCTTATGGGGCAGCACTCCTTGTGGTCGGTCAGAAGTTGTGTGTGTTGGATTTACTATTCTGCAGCTTCACTGCACCTTTGCATTTGTACTCCATGGTAGTTTTTTGCAGGATGTTCACAGCCACCCAAGCTCAGTTCTGTTGTGCCTTGAGTATAGAATACATTCAAGGCTTGGTCCTAGTGGAGTTGAAACCTCTGCTATGTACGTGGCAAGTTAACATTTTCATACTCTTAAAGAAAAGAAGGAGAAAAATTCTTTGGACACAAGAAAGCCCTTATTATATTAAGTACTCCATAAATTTCTTAACAGCTTGAGAACAAATCAGAAAAATCAGTGAAGGGACCAAAATAGGTTTATTGCAGAGAGAAGGTGGAGTGGGCATGTAGAAGGACTTGTACGTTAATAGCAGAAGGTCCTATATCAGCAAAAATATTTTCTTTTAACCCATAACAAAAAACTACAAACAGCCCCAAATTTCCAGGGTTTGGAATCAGAACTGGGATATTAAAAGCAATGTGTCCTATCAGATTTTGGGATAAGGAAAGGAATGATGATTGCAGTCATTGTAGTGATTCATTTGTGAGTTACTTTTAAGTTTGTCTAGTATGGTGTCTTACATCCTGGTGTTGTGTTTCTTATAGGTGAGTTCATTATTGGTCGTGTTATTAAAGCCATGAACAATAGCTGGCATCCAGAGTGCTTCTGCTGTGATATCTGCCAAGCAGTATTGGCTGATATTGGATTTGTCAAGAATGCTGGCAGGTAAATCTCCACCCTCCTTCTGTTAACTGATCATAAATTAAATGAACTAATAGTGGGACTGAGAGGTTTTGGTTCCTGAGGCTTTCCAGCTCAAATGGAGCAATTGAAGTATTTTCTGTGGTATGGTCTAATCCTGCATCACAAAACTACAGGATCTTAAAATACTGACATTTTGACTGCTTCGACACCAAGTTTCATAGTAAACATTTTCTTTACCCAGTGACCTTTTGGAGTCATTGTAATATGTAATAACAGAGAAAACTTTCAAATACGGAAGCATTTTATTTTTTTTTATAAAAATGTTTACTTTCTTTTTCCAACTTGGTTCTCCAATTTTGGTCTATTTGGCACCATATTTAATAATAATTGCTTAATGTTCAGTAGGACCCTTCAGAGTAGGATATTTTGCCAGCTATGATCAAAAGAATGTTTTACCAGTTGATTATGTGGCCATTGGCTTCTTATGTGTAATACAATATACAGAATTATCTGCAGAAGTAGGACCTGTGTGCTCATACGTCCTCTAATCTAAATTTTTAAGATTTTGAAAGTAAAACGTTCATCAACAAGAATCTATAAGAAACATTGTTTTCTGTGTTTCATAAGGTTTAACTCAGCTGAAGAAATTGTATTTCTGTGGTGGCAGAAAAATTGAATGATCACCCTGAACTTGGGCAATCATTTTGGTACTTTGAACTTGGTTTGCCTTAGCAAGGAAGTTGTTCCAACAAGACTCAAAAAAGAGCTGATTGAAATGAGGTTCTGAGAGATTTTTGGTTTATATTTTGCACTGTAGTACCTGGTAGCAATACTTATCTCTCTTTTTTTTATGCCGTTTCAGACATCTCTGCCGTCCTTGCCATAACAAGGAAAAAGCCAGAGGCCTGGGAAAGTACATTTGCCAGAAGTGTCATGCTATTATTGATGAACAGCCTCTCATATTCAAAAATGATCCTTATCACCCTGATCATTTCAACTGTGCAAACTGCGGGTAACCTGAGTTCTGCAAAGGGAAACAGGATAATGCTGGGCTTATTTGCTTCGTCAGTTTAAAGTGGAAACTTCTCCTGTACATCTGACAAGAGGGGGTGGGGTTTGGATGTCTTGTGGCCAGATGTGTGTTACTGCTTTTGGCTTGTGGGTTCAAACAACAGCTGACCTGCTGGGGAATAAAGAAAGATTCACTCTGCAGAACAAGGCAGTACCTTACAAAACACAGAGTATTGACACAGATACCATTTCTGTGGTAGTGAAATGACAGCTCACCATTCTGCTAGGAGGAGAAGTGGTTCTTTTTTGTTGCTTGAATTACTATCTTGCCTATGGTTTTTTTTTTAGTTCAATGGCATCCAAACTTTGTTCTCTCTTTTTAAAGCCTGTCTTTTTTAGAAGCCTTCTCCCATCTCATTTTATCATCTTCTGCAACTGCAGCACATGAAACTGCACATTTCTGCATCCTGCACTGATGCAGAGGTGTAGGATGAGCATTGGAGCATGGAGCGTTGTAGGACATAGCATAGATTCTTAATTTATTTCTGCTGCAAAGGAAGCTACTATTTCAGTGCCACAGCAAAGGCTGATTTGAATAACAGTATGTAGAGTTATATCAGTGGCAACCAGTTGAGAGTATTTGTGATTGCAGTCACTTTTAAGGTTTAGCTGTTCTTAGTATCTAACCATGCAAGTTACTAAAAAGTGGAGTTTATAAGATTCTGCAATGGGAAATGAATAAGCCTAGCTCATGTGGGTCTGTAGTTCTCTTTCTCTGAAGTTTGATACAAGGAAAATGTAACTAGATATAGAGGACTACATTTTACTTTCAGTTGCAGTTATGCAAATCTAAAATAAACTGGTGATAAGTGCCAGAATGTAAACCAAACATGTGCAGCTTTCACACACAGATTTGTGCTGCTAAAGCAGAATGACAATAGCTCAGTAGTTGTTTCCAGAGAGACTCGGTGCACCTTGCTTTGCAGCCTGTTCTCAGCTTACTGAGACCAGGGGTGAACTGTGTTGAATTGTGTTATATTTGATGCTGCTGCATTAATGTAGTATAAATATAATTTCTGAAGCATTTTTGAGCACCTTTATTCATGCTCTAAATTCATTAACTTCTGAACAGGAAGGAACTTACTGCTGACGCTCGTGAGCTGAAAGGGGAACTCTACTGCTTACCCTGCCATGACAAAATGGGTGTCCCCATCTGTGGGGCATGTAGGAGACCAATTGAAGGCCGTGTGGTGAATGCTATGGGCAAACAATGGCATGTGGAGGTAAACATCAGATGCTAAACCATCACTCTTACAAATGTAAACCTTAGCATATTTATCTGTGATTTTTCTGTTCAATTTCAATGAAAGGATTCTCAAAGTTTGCAGCAATGATTATAAATGCCTTCTCCAAATCCCTCTTCAATCTTATTGTGGCTGATCTTCCACCGTGACTAGTTACTTGTCACCTTACAGAGAGCTTTGACTGTGAAACTAAAATAAATAATTCAAAGGAAGCCCAGCGAGATCCTTACAAAATAAAATTTCAGAACTCAAAGCAGTACATGTGGAAAAGCAGTCAAATCTGTGGCAACCATGTTACTAGGCATCATAATACCCCTAGGTACATATTTCTTTAACAGTTCATGTGAGAATTCATATTTCAAGGCCACATACAAGATATAGTTACACATCTTCCATTTTAATTAGATAAGTTGTTTATTCCTTCTGTTGTTTTGAAAGCCTCCTCTAGGAAATGCTTTCTTCACAAGGGTATAATTATAATGCAGATTATTTAATAACTCTTAATTCTGTTCGTTGATAAAAATGCAGAATCCATTGCTTGATTTTGTTTTGTAACTTTTGGATTGAAATGTTGAAGACATTAAAAGAAATATTATTTTAATGGTCTAAATATAGAAACAAAAGTTTTAACTCTGCTTTTCAAGATGGCTTAGTAGATTTCAGCCATGTTTAAGTAGTGGACATGGTTATTTTGCTTTCCAGAAAAAATAATGTTACTTCCAAAAGACAAAAAAATTTATTGTTATTTTCTTTGTAGCATTTTGTTTGTGCAAAATGTGAAAAACCATTCCTGGGCCATCGTCATTATGAGAGAAAAGGCCTGGCATATTGTGAAACCCACTACAATCAGGTAAGGTTGCATATTTTTTAAAATGGCGTTAATTGGTAAATTCACAAATTGGTTTTATTAGACAGAGATGGAAAACCATGGACATTCTTCTGTTTTGTTAAAGGCATCTCTGGGTGTAATGGCAATTAGCATATGTTCTGTTGCAGCTAATTTTTACAGGTTTCCCTATTCATCTGTGTGGCATTAAAAAAGAAAACTGCAGGTATTTCACAAAGGCTGGCCAGGACAATGAGTATCAAGTTGTTCTTCAAGCTTAGTGGTACTTAAGTAGAGCTGTTACATGGCTTTGACGTGTCTGTGGATCAGAGCAGCTAATGACAACTAATCTCTCCTAAGAAGTTAAAGAAGATTTGCCACTCACTAACTGTTTGGAGGCCTCAGTGAGTGGGTGGGTTTCCCTGCCGCTGCTGCTCTAAGGCACTGTGTGTTGATGTATGCTGTTGCTCAGTCATTTGGCTGATAAAAGACTTCCAAGACTAAATTTGTCAGAAGACACCCTCTAGTGACCACTTGCATTTATGTAGAAGTTACATGTGGCAGCACCACCCCTCTCCAGACGCCCTTGGATGGGGAGTCCACCCCATGAACAGGGCACAGACATATTTTTCTTTGGAAGCCATCTGTGTCATGTCACATTCACCTCCCTTGCCTACATAAATACACGAGGAGGGGTTACAGCTGGGAGTGGTATGGCATCTGCTAATTACAGATGGATTCTTAATTGGTCATTAGTGATGAAGGGCAGATGATTGGTGCTGGCACACTTGCATATTGTAAATGCTGTGATGTTTGTAGTAATAGTGTTGCAGCTGGGATGGGCCAGACAAGAGCTGTATGTAGAGTGGATGTCTTTTCCAAGGTTAACTACTACAGGTAGAAAAGATACATTAAGGTTTTAGCACTTCTTTTTATATATTGTGGACAAATGTTAAGCCTGGAAAATTTTTTTTGTCTGAATTTTTTTTTTTTAATAAAGATAAAATTTTGTTACAGTAATACATTGTTTTAGTCATGCATGTTAGTCCAAATGTTACATTTTCTAGTTAGTAACCATATGTACATGTCACCAACTGCTGTATTTCAAATCTTCCATATTACAGAAATCTTGAAACAAAACAAAATCTTACTTACAGAGAATCAAAGGTAGATAAATGTTTTCATCTTTAATATTATCAAGACTTTTTGTGATGAGATGATGCAAAATGTACTTGGAAAACCAAACCAGACTTGCCAGCATTTTCTTTATTTCACTGGAACAAACAGGAAAGTGATTGTGCCCATCAGCTGAAACATAGTTGTTTTGCTAGTTTGATAAGTTACCTTCAATAAAATCATTATATTAAAAATTTATTACTCCTCTTTCCTCTTCAGCTGTTTGGTGATGTTTGTTTCCATTGCAACCGTGTGATTGAAGGAGATGGTAAGCACTTCTCTGTTTCCTTAAGGTTCCTTTTTGATGGAAGTTCTCTTTAGAAGTGAAAGTAAGGGGGAGGCAGCCCAGTTTTCATTAAAACAAAACCAGATGTTCTCTTGACCAGAAATTAAATTAGAGTGGATTAGTTAGAGACCAAATGGTAGGAAAACCTGACATCATATCATGATGGTAGAAGACCACCCCGTGGCCAGAGAAAACTGTGAAACCCCTTAGTGACATGCAGAGGCCAAGGATGCTGGAAGATGCTCAGAAGTCACTTCCTGCCACACCACCTTCAAAAAAGAACACATGCAAGGGTAAAAAGGAGCATACAGGCATCTCCACAAATGAATTTGTGGATCATGACACAAAATTGAAAAAATATTTAGATACTGAAAGGCATAGGTGGGCACTGTTAGGAATTTTTTAAAAAATGCCTTGTTCCCAATATGTCTCTTTGAATCCTGGAGATATTTACCTATCTATTTCAAGCAACTGTCTTTTGAAAATCTAGGCTTATGATAATGTCACAAAACCAGGAATGATCATACTTGGAAATATATGTCCTGTAAAGGCAGAACTACAAGTAATTTGTTGGTTTTGTTATTGTTTGATTGGGTTTTTTAGGAGAAGGAGGTGGGTTTGAGGGTTGTTTTTTGGGGTTTTTTTGGTAACTAGCTCTGATAAAATGCCAAAAGCAAATTATTCTACCTGAAATAATGTGACATTATGTACCTATTTACCCCATCCAAAGTAAGCACTATGTTAGCCTCATCTAAGCCAAAGGCATTAGCAAAGTAGGAGGAACCTTCTAACATTCAAAAAGAGACATAAAATAGTTTACAGTCATATAACTATAGGGTAAGACATACATTCTGTAGATGTGCTTTCCCTACATTTTCTGGACTGCACTGTGCCTTCAGAATGACAATACAAAATGTTTTAGAGGAAAGAGTCCTCATTTTCAGGAAAATTCTACAGGAATGAGCAGAAATTGAACTTTTCTGATAACTACATCTCTGTATGATTCTAATCTTTCACCATATATTCTGACACCAATATTGTAAGTTTTGGTCTCTGAACTGAAAATAATACAGTATACACTAATTTCTTTATTTTCAGTGTATGTCTTCAATTACATTTCTTCTTTCATTTCTGCACACAAATTTTGAGTCAGCTGTCACAAATTTGGTATCCAGTATTGTTCTCTGTTGGGTGAAACAAATATCTGTAGCAGCAGTTTCTCAGGAGGGTGTCTATGGCTGCATTACTGAGGTTGCTTGGGAGCAAAGAACTTCACCTGCCTAGTATTGTTCTGGAAAGCAATGGAATAACTGTGTATCTGTGAACATGCTTGCCCAATAGTGCAGGAAAAACCCTCTGTATGACAATGTTTTGGTTCTCCTTGTTGTTGACAAAATACTGTGAGAAAAACATTGAGAGATCGAGTGAGAAAAACATTTATAAGTAAAATATTGTCCCACTTTCTCTAACTTAGGAAAATATTGGCAGGGCAAACTGGAAAGCTCTACTGTAAGAGAGAAAGAACAGGAACCTACAGAACAAATAGGAAATAGTTACTTTCTCTTCAAAGCCAAGAATAAAGAGAGTCCATTTTCTTTTCACCTTGGTAGTACTGATTTACCAGCAGTGTCTGACTGCTGGCTTTACATTATTTTCTTCAGCTGGGCAAATGCAACTGTTGATTGCAGTGCAATCTGAACTGGATCTGAGAAATGAAACTGTATGAAAACATAAACACAATTGTACTGGATTGCTCTTCAGCTGGAAGCATTTCCTGATTAAGTTGGAACCTGGCCTCACAGAACCATTGCTGAGATCAGCTGGATATGAGATGAAGTGGAAGCGAAAAATAGGAGGCAGAAATAGGTTAAGCTGGTCTTGCCCCAGGGACAGCTGTATCAATGCTTCACAGTCCTGTTCCTTACACTCTAAAATGTGCCTCGCCAGTCTGGCCATGTTATTATGGTCCTTAATACTTGATATGAGAATCAGTGAGTGATCTTCACACCTCATGAATATGTAAACTTAAAATTTTTGTAATAACTTTTTTTTTTTTTCCATTGTTAAGGCTAATTATTTTTTTTTCCCCATCTCCCTAGTTGTGTCTGCTCTGAATAAGGCATGGTGTGTGAACTGTTTCGCTTGTTCAACTTGCAACACTAAGTTAACCCTCAAGTAAGTTTATGGATAAGTGTGATGTCTTCACCACATATCAGCAGTTCTCTTCAAAGTGTAGATGTTGCTATAGTGTAGCTGTTACGGTATGAAAAACATGTAAGCAGCATCGAGGGAATAAGTGTCTCTTCCTCTTGCTCCACTTAGTACTTTCCATCTCTTTCCACTGTTTCTTCAGGTCTTCCTTCAGTTAATCTTCCTAACTCTTCTCCTTTCCCATCCTTTATTTTTTCTTGTTTAACTCTAAAGGGATAAGTTTGTTGAAATTGATCTAAAACCTGTCTGCAAACACTGTTATGAGAAAATGCCAGATGAATTTAAGCGACGACTTGCCAAACGGGAACGTGACGCAAAGGATAAAGAGAAGCAGAAAAAGAAAAAGCCAATCTGTTTGTAAACTTCTTTGCCTTCTCATGGCCACCTCTGCTCCTTTCTTCTGTGGTTAGTCCTAAGGATGGTTTTTTTTTGCACTTTTGCATGAATTTATGGCAGTCAAAACCAAAACATCTTTCACACAACTGCAACTTGAAATACTAACTTGTTATTCCATTATCTTATGTTTAGTCTACAATTAGATTTGAAAGGCTTTCTAAATTACACGGTTAATAAACATGAGCTTTTGGGTACAATCTGCATAACTTGCTCAACAGGGTGTTGTAATCACTGTCTGCAGTGTATAGAACTTGTAACTTAATGTATTTGTATAAATTGGGGGGTTAATTTTTTGCTTGTGCACATTTAATAGGAGATTTTTTAAAAAGTTTTTTTCACTATTTCATCTGCTAAAACTTTGTCTGTTTCTTTTGCTTTGTTGTTTTAGGAATAAATTTGTTGAGTTTGATATGAAGCCTGTCTGCAAAAAATGTTATGAGAAGTTTCCCCTAGAGTTGAAGAAAAGACTGAAGAAATTAGCTGAAACTTTGGGAAGGAAGTAAAGACTTCATCTGCTCTCCTCTTCATTGTGAAAATCTTATAGATACTACTTGTGTGGTAGGGGGGAGTTGCTGCTTTGAGGCTGCAGTCAGACAACAGATGCTGATGCATGCCTTTTATCAACCCAACATATATTAAGATTCTCTCTTCTCTATACATGTATGCTTACCTGTTGACAAACAGACCATACTTCCAAAATAAATACCAGCTCACTTGAAAGGTTTCTGACCAATAATGCCATTGTACCGATGCAGGTGGCCCATTCTGCACACTAATTCTCTGTGGAACTCTTCAGAGAGAGAAAATTTGCTTGTGAACACAAACTTTGCAAATGTGCCCAACTTTAGGGATGTGTATTGTCATTTATGTTAGTGAAAATATTAACCTTCATATTAAGCATGCAGACAAAACTCACCCAGCTCAAGTGATTTGGGCAGGAAACCAGTACACTTTGCCTCATGGAAAAATTCACACTTGGATTTCAGGCCAAGTCACCTCATTAAGGAGCCTTATTTGAGATGGTTTGGAAACTATCAGATTTCTAAATACATCCACTGTACAGCTGACATACATAAAGTGATAAAAATTACAAACTATGCTTATATGATGAATGTTTCTACATCAGGCTTAGCATGAGATACTTATATAAAAAATGTATTCCTATTGCAAGAAACGAGCATACTCAGAACTACTTTTTGCTATATTCCACTTAAAATAACACATTAACTTCTATATATGCTTTTGCATTCTATTTACTTTTTGTGCCTTATTCTGCTGGACCATACATAACAGTATACCATTAAATATATATAGTTTTATATTTTATTTCATATTTTTATGCAAAAACTATTATAGAAGGTATTTTCAAAAGATAACATACTTTGCCTTAATTATACAGGATGCAAGAAGTATTTTATTTGAAATGTGAACATCTGCATTTAAAATCTAGCTTCTAGACCTCATTGATTTTCAGAACAATACTGAAAATGCGTATTTCAATTAACTGGCAATATTACTTTTACACCTCTGTGTGTAAATATGCAAGGTTTGATCCTACTAGGATCTACTTCTTTAGCCATCCTCAAGGACTGAGCTTACAAATAATAAAAATTCTTTATAACATACATTTAATTGTTTTATACTATTGAGTTCTGTCCATGCAAATTTGTTTTTATTTTTTCCTTTGTTATAGAAAATACAGCTACTTAGGTCTTCTTCATGGTACGAAGTATGCAAACATTTTTTTTTTACTTTTGTACATTAGTGACTTAAACAGATTTTCTGTAATTATGTAACAGGAAGTAAAATTTTCTTTCCTGTTTATGAAAAATTAGTTACTTTAAAACATCTGCTTTCCTGTGTCATCAATAAAGGCCATGTTATTAAACCTTTTATTGCCTCTGAAATAAATGCTTGAGATGGGTGGGAAAGCAGTAAGGCTCTCTTGGGTCCCTGAGCTTTTACCCGTGACTGTGTAAATACTTCCTTATTATCCTAACTTAAAGGAGACATATGCCTTTCCTAAAGTTTTATATTTGTATGTAGTTCTAAGGTTCATAAAAGAAAAGTTTGTTTCATAAAGAATAGCTTGATTCTTCTGGATATTTTGTGAATTGGCACAGGCACTAGGTTTTCCTAAAGAATCTTGTCTGAGTGTAAAACATATACCCTCCTGTTAACTTTTTCTCTCCTGTTTTCACTGTAATGAAATTGTCATTCCAAACTTTCAGTTTATTGCTAGGTATGGTATTTTTTGGCTATTTCATCCTACATAATCATTGAATGCCATAGCATTCATAAATGCAGTCAGTCCCTGACCCTGCTGAAGACTATACAAGCTTAAAATGTCCTCAAAAATTGTTTACTTAACAATTTATAGTAGGTAGTAGGCTACTAGCACAGTAGCCCTGTTGGAATTTTGGACTGTGCCATGCATTCAGTAGACTACACACACTCTTGCTTCCTCCTGCAGTTATAACTAACTTCTAGGTTTTCATGTTACACTGACTGTACATCTTCTCCTTCAGCCTGCGTGCCCAGCCTTACTGCTCAGAGTTGGGAAGGGTCACTAGCCCCAAAGCTGAATGACAAGACCTGGCTCATATCCACATTGCTCAGGGTTATATCCATCTGCAGCACAGTGGCCTCAGATTTTCTGTGCACTCTGGTGGCCCTTGGGACCTGGCACAAGGCTGGGTTTTTCCATTTCCAAGTTCCTGATGGTGAATGCTGTGCTACTGTTCACCAAGGCAGCACCTTCTTTTCATGAACTCTAGTGTGTGTATGTCAGACCCCACGATGTAGCACTCAAAGCATCTGAGGGTACTTGAGGGTTCAAAGCCTGATGAAGTATGGAAAAATGTTGGATGGAAGGGACCAATAGAGATCAGCTAGCCCAGCCATCTGCTCAGAGTGGGTCTAACTTCAGAGTTGCATCAGTACAGAAGGTCTTGCTTGGCCAAACTGAGAACATGCAAGGAGATTTCACAGAGCTTTTTGTGGATGTTCCAGTGTGTTCCAGTGCTTCATCACCCTCATGGTGAAAATATTATTACTGGAGTCCTATCTCAAGTGGAGTGTTCCCCAAATCCATGCTCTCTTGGGAACGTTGTCATGAACTGTCATTGGTATAATACCCCTGCACATGGTCATGAAGAGGATTAGTTAAAAGCACGGCAAAGCAGAGCCAGGGAGCAAGCTAGCAATTAGGCAGCCTGGACAATTACACGTCTGGTGTTGAAGCTCACTTCCTGGCCTGAAGTATTATAAATGTTTGAGTAGCTGCACATAATTTCCTAAAAGATGCAGAGCCTAGAACTGTTTTTCTATCCTGTCCCTGTAAGGTCTGTCAAGGAATCCCTGAGCCTGGGATTTGGGAACGGATGCCTCAGAAGCTTTGTCCCTTTCTGCTGCATGGATCAGGTATCCATGGGCAGGAGAGGTTCCTTTAGAAAGCGTGGCCAGGCTGACATTAGGGAGCCCTCCAGAAAGCCCAGTGGATGTCGCTGCCGGGGGAAGAGCTGAGCCTAAAGCCTTTCTGCTGCCGGCGGTGGCACGTCCTGTGCCCAGTCCCAATGAGCGCAGTGAGGCTGCAGGGACAGCTCTGGAGTCAGTGCTGTCCTGCCCGCTGCTGCGACCACCTGGGACAACACAGGGAGTGCCACTTCTACAGCGCTGGGTGAGACTGACCAGAGCCAAAGTACTGGACCTGGTCTATATGAAGGCAATTTTCCATGCCTCCCCGTCAGCTGAAGTGCAGAAATACTCTCCAGTGAGGCAAGTAAACTCCAATGTTCCTCTCTGCATCAGCACCAATACTTCCATTACTTAGCCTGGCAGGTGCAGATAATAAATTTTTTGATAATCCCAGCTGTAGGCACACCATTAAAAGTACAGAGAAAAAAATATTTTTTTTTTTGTGGAATTAAATAAATTAAATCCAAATAAATCACCATTAATACAAAAAAGAATAAAAGAGAGGATTAATTCTTTCAGTCAGGGTCTTAAATGGATGTTGCTGGTCTAAAAGAAAAAGTTGGCTATGTTTCCTTATTTTTCCTGCAAGAGGGTAAGAGCTGTGGGGCTGTCAGTATATTTTAGGTGTAGCAGGAATCCTGTGACTGTCAATAGGTTGTTTGAGATTGAGAACTGGAGAAATTTTTAATTACACTTCTTCAGAGACATGGCCCAGTGGCCTCATTTTGACCAAAGCATCTGAACTGGCAGGAAAGATGGCTAATTCCAGTGAGTACAATCTGAGGCTTCCTGCTGGGAATTTCACCACAGGACTCATCCTCAAGCCACCAAACCTGTAAAACTACAACTTGCAAATCTGTCCTGCCTTGAGGGTTGCTGGTCTATCTTTTAGTCCACGTTCCCAGCTGTGTTTTAGAGCTTAATTGTTTAATTATACTATCCACAGTGCCTGGAAAAAAAAAGTTTCTCACCACAGTGGCTACAATATTTAGAGTCTCATTTTCTAGAGCATTGGCTCTCAGTAAGAAGGCCCTTATGCTTACAGATTAAATTTATAGTTCCTCTGAACTACAAAGTCTAGAAAAATAGAATATTACAGGTTGGAAGGGACCTTAAAGACCTAGTCTTTAATGGGGGACATTTCCCATTAGGCAGATTGCTCAGAACTCCATCCAACCCAGCCTCAAAAACTGCCTGGGATGGGGCACCCACAGCCTCCCTGGGCAGCCTGTGCCAGTGCTTCACTGCCATCACAGTGAATAATTCCTTCCTTGTATTTAACCTAACTAAACTACCCCTCTTTTAATTGTACCCATTGCTTCTTGTCCTATCACTACAGTTCCAGAAAAAGTCCCTCTCCTGCTTTCCTGTAGGTCCCTCAGATACTGGAAGGTTTGCTATGAAGTAGTTGTGGAACCTTCTCTTCTCCAAGCTGCACAGCCCCAAATTCCTCACCCTGTCCTCGAGGGGGAGATGTTCCAGCCCCCCAAAGCAACTTCATGTCTCTCCTCTGGACTTGCTCCAACAGTTTCACATCCTTCTTATGGTAAGGGTGCCAGAACTGTTACTTAGCTTTAGGTAAAACCTTGTTACCCATATATATATATATGTGTGTGTGTGTGTGTATGTATATATATATACGTATATATATATCTTTATATATACATATATATATATATCTTTATATATTCACATACACACACACACATATATATATATATATACTCACACACATATATATACATACACACATATATACATATATATCCACATTTATAGAGTATATTATTTAGGTGATAAACATATAATCATCATATATATTTTTATATATTACTGAGGTGAGTTTATTGTATTTTTTGTTGAGAAAACGCCACCACGCTCTCCCTCACAGTTTTCCATGACAGATTTCCTACCCCTGCCCCCCCGCCCCGCCGTGCGCATGCGCAGGCCCGGCCAGGTCCCCGTCTCCCCCCGGCCGTTGAGATGGGGGCGGGAGGCGGCACGCGCTGGGGCTGCGCGCGCCGCGCGGCTGAGCGGGAACTTGCGTAACGCGCGGCGGTCGCGTCGCTGCTGCGCTTCCTTCCTCCTTCCCTCCGCCTTCCCCTCCGCAGGCGCCGGGCCGGGGCCGCCGGCCGGCCGGGAAGGCGCGTTCTGCCGCCACAGAGGCCGGGCGCGGTCTCCGCCGCCGCGGCGGCGCCATGATGAGGCGGACGAAGCCCGAGGTGGAGCGCTACGTCGCCTCCTTGCAGGCCGCTGCGTCGTCGCCCAGAGAGGTGAGCGCGGCCTCGCGTTGCCCGCCCTGGCCGGGCCCGGGGGGCGCTGCGGCCGCTCCGTGCGGCCGGTG